AAAGAAAGAAAGAAAGAAAGAAAGAAAGAAAGAAAGAAAGAAAGAAAGAAAGAAAAAAGAAAAGAAAAGAGAAAAGAAAAGTCAACATCCTTAACATTTAACCCACTAGAAACTGTTATTGGCCCTGCATACAAAGGCGTCTTCCACTCACTGTCAGCCAAACAGATATGAATTCCAGGTAAGTTACTCTTACTTATTTACTTTTTTGAAACAGGTCTCCCTCTGTTGCCCCGGCTGGAATGCAGTGGTGCAACCATGGCTCACCGCAGCCTCAATCTCCTGGCTCAAGCAAGTCTCCCACCGCAGCCTGCTGAGTAGCTAGGACTACAGGCACACATTACCATTCCTAGCTAATTTTTTCTTTTTTTTTTTTTTGTAGAGACAGGGTTTTGCTATGTTGCCCAAGCTGGTCTTGAACTCCTGGGCTCAAGCAATCCTCCCACCTCAGCCTCCCAACATGCTAGGATTACAGGTGTGAGCCACTACACTAGGCCGTAAATTACTCTTTCTAGAAATGAAACAGCCAAATCTGTGGGCACACACATATGTATTTGTCAGAGCAAGTCATTCAGAAACTTACTGGGACCAGAACAACACCCACTTCCCACTAACCTGTGATTTGTGGGGCCCATACTTCTTCTTCTTCATGAGGATATCCACCTGGGCTATAAGGACCCCACATATTCTGAGTTGCCTTTTCATTCTTCTGGGTGGCACAAGCCTGTTGTACTCAGGTGAGAAGACAGAATTCCACTCTATCACATGGGCAGACTTGGTGTTCAGTTACCCTCTATCAGTTAGATTATGAGGTTCAGGAACTAGATCAAATTATACTCGAGGAGTGTTCAGATGCTGTATTGCAAGTAAAGGTATGGATGACAGTGGGCTACTGCTTTGCCTTCAGAAAACACCAAATTTGATGAAAAATGCAATCTGATCTTTTTTTTTTTTCATCAGAAACTGTCTGGAAGTTCTTTAAAAAGCAGAAGTGTAAAATAATGAAAAGTAAGGCGAAAATAATAAAGTATCAAATAATGAAAGCTGAATACATTAGGGCCTATTAGCTTGCTTCTGCTGTTTGTGGTACTGCGGCTTACTCTGCATCAACACAACCATAGCTGAATTACATATGAGTAACAGTGTTGGTTGATTCTGTTTAATTGGGTCAGATTCATTTGTCAGCTGCACAATCACGTGGGAAAACCATTAGTCATATAAACTAGATGTTGATGTTTTAAAATGTGAAATTACTTTTTCC